GCAGCCTACATCTCATTAATCCCTCACATATACCTACACAGCCTACATCTTATGAATCCCTCACATTAACCTTCACAGTTTGCTTTTATATTTTATACTCATGTAGAACCAAGTGGTCTTAAGACAAGTAAATTGGCTATCGCTATTCAAATTATCCGTTCACTAGTAGCCTGCGAACAGGCTCCCAGTTGGGTTAATGAGTTTCGTGCGAGCTAGAAAAGTGTGGTCTAGGGCAAGCGGGGAGAGCCGAGAGCGGAATGGTGACGCAGCATTTTTTTTCTTTTCTTTTTCTTTTTTTTTTTTTTTGCGTTAGGTAACTAACATAAGCATTATAAGCAAGACTCCAGGTCNGCGGAATGTTGACGAGGGGGAGCGCAATTCGCGGAATTCTTTTTTTCGCGCTTAACGGCTCGCTTCCCTCGACGGATGTTTTTTTACCGTCCCCGCCGGATTTTTTTTTCCGCCCTCGCTGGGAGCATGATGGCAGGCTAGTTCACTTGCCGTGCGTTCAGCCGTTCGAACGGATACCGTAAGGAACGTTTTCACGTGAGAGGTCAGATATTTGCCGATGCATTATTGTGGTTGAATCGGCAAAGTTCTTTTCTTAATGACGCTTTTAGGGTCGAGAAAGTAAATTTGGCAATGTACTTACTTCTTTTTACGTGATGCGTGATTGGTGAAAAAATTCTCCGTGATGCGCGATTTAATAGAAAAATTCAGCTTGGTACGTGGTTGGTACCCTACTTTTATTAGCCAACAGAAGACTTGCTCTAAAAATTTGAAGTTTAGAACTCATAATTAACGAAATAAACAGAATTACCTCAAATAGAAAGACATTTGTCCGATTATGTAAGCTTTTAGCAGTTTCGTTTTGCAAAGTAACGCAAATGGCAAGTGGTTCTGGTGTTATTCCGATTCTCGGAATGCTCGGAATGGCTCGGAATGGCTCGGAACGGGACAAAGAGTTTGGATAGTTGACGAATCCACAAAACTGGTGACCTTACTCTTTAGCATGTCCCGCTTTGCAATGCTAGGCTAGCCGTGTGCGAGAAGTAAAATATAATGTCATTATACATTACACATTACATTATATTTTACTTCTCGCACACGGCTAGCCTAACATTGCAAAGCGGGGACATGCTAAAGAGTAAGGTCACCGGCGTTGACAAAACCAGGATCGGACTGGATCACAGATCGGATCACAGACCAGATCACGGATCGGATCACGGATCGGATCACGGATCGGATCACGGATCGGATCACGGATCGGATCA